GAGTCTTGGCTCTTAAAAAAAAAAAAAAAAGAAAGAAAAAAAAAAAGCCCTGCACTCACCAGCTCCTGCCAGGCGGGAGGCGATCTCCATTGCCCCACGCTGCATGGGGGGGGAGGGGCTCTGCCACGAGCCCCCAGAAGTCCCAATGGCCACTGCAGCAGCTGGTGAGCGTGGGGCTTCTTTTTCTTTTTTAAGAGCAAGGATCTGGGGCAGGGCAGCCATTGACATAGCTGGGAGAGCAGGCAGGGGTTGGGGGGCTGGGGGAGGAGGCAGGGGATGGGGCCTGGCGGGGGGTCCTCCATGATCCCCTTCCTCATCCTACCCTGCCCTCTACTTACCGGCATGGAGTCTGGGTCCAGCTCCCTGTGGTGGCAAATGGGAACTGCCCAAATCTCTGAAGCTCTCCGAATCAATTTGGAGAGCTTCGAATCGATTTGGACCATTTTATTGGTCTCCTGATTTGATTCGGATTCTGAGATTTGGCCACAAAATCTGGCCAAATCTCCTCTGAATGGAATCAGCACCCGAAGCTTCGCACAGCTCTATTGAGCATACATCTGAAAATGAAGCAGTTTAAGATAGTGAGGCACCTTTAATCACTAGATACCTTTTCTTATTTTGGCCTTTCTTGTTTTGCTTGGGTTAATCCATTTCTTAAATACTAGCCTACTGCAGAGGTAGTGTGCATGTGTTTACCTTATGTGTTTTTTGGTTTTAAATCCGTGGATGAAAGGGCTATGTGTATTTAAACGATCATAAAGATTCTATCACCTTTAGGCTAACAAAATGAACACCACAGAAATAACCCAAGTTTGTTTTGATGGTTCCCTACAACTTTAACTTTAACTATGATTTTTTCTTAGAAGTTGGACATAGCAGTATGTGGATTTCAACTGATGCTGCAACATCTGTGCTTGAGCCACTAAAAGTAGTGTGGGCCAAATGCAGTGGGTATCCCTCCTACCCAGCACTGGTGAGTATGCAGCTTACCGCCAGTGTTTCCTCAACTGCTTGTATTAACATTACCTGTTAGTACAGGGGCAGGCAGTTATTTTGGGTGGAGGACCGCTTACTGAGTTTTGGCAGGCCATCGAGGGCCGCATGACAGGCAGCCAGGGGCAGATGTATATTAATTTTCTAAATTTATTAGGGGCCCCGCAGGCCAGATAGAATGGCCTGGTGGGCCGCATCCGGCCCGCTTGCCACATTTTGCCCACCCCTGTGTTAGTAGGTATATGCTGGGAATATGGGACACCTATACATATACACTGAGGCTGCTCTGACATACTGTAATTACAGTACATGGTAATTACCATGCTGCAGCTGACTTGAGTGTCACGTGGTTTAGAGTCCCTGCACTCAAAAAATGGCAGTGGGGACACTTTAATTAAAGCTTGTTTGAGCTTTAATTAAAGTTACCACCCCCAGCTGTTTTTCAGCATGGGGACACTAATACACGTGATGCTTCAGGCACTTTAATTAAAGTGGCTGTCAAAGCTGCTCTAATTAAAGCACCCCTCCCACACACACCTACCCCCCGGAGCATGTGTATAAACGCCCATGGTAACTAAATCTTTGGATTCAGTGCAGGAAGGTAGTTTGCCCTCAGCCTCCAAGTGCAGCATTACATCACATCGGGGACAGTAGCCTTTTTGCTTTTGAAGCTCTTGATCATTATTGAAGCAAGATACTAGATTTGAAGAGAATTATGCTGAGCTGACATCACATTAGCCCAGGGATGGGAAAAGTCTGGCCTGTAGGCTGGATCCTGTCGGCCAAGGATTCCATTTCCCAGCTGCCCTTGCATGGGGGGCTGGGGCTGGTCCCCGTGGAGCCCCCAGCCACACCTGTGCAGGAAAGCTTAGGCTGGGGTTGCCATGGAGACCAGCCTCAGCTGCGCTGGCAGTGCTCATGGCAGAGCAGTGTAGGGGGCTGCTCCGGAGTTGCCAGGAACTTGGGATGGGGGCAGCTTGTTCCAGAGCCAGGGCAGAGCCATGATCTGTAAGGCTGTGCCCTGGCACGCTCCGGGCAGGAGTACACAAACAGGATCGTGGCTCTGCCCTGGCTCCTTGCAGCAGTGACAGCCTGGTCCCAAGTCAGGGCAGAGCCATGATCCCCTGCTTGTGCCCCCTGCCCAGAACATGCAGGCTACAGGTCACGACTCTGCCCTGGTTCCAGAGCAAGCTGCCCCCACCCAAGTTCCCAGCAGCTCCGGAGCAGCTCCCTGTGCTGCTCTGCCATATGCACTGCTGGCATGGCTTAGGCTGCTTTCCATGGCAACCCCAGCGTGAGCTTCCCTGCACAGATGCATCTGGGGTCTCGGCAGAGACTGGCCTAAGCCATGAGGGCAGGGGCTCCTGGGAAATGGAGTCCGGCTACTGGCCAGATCAGCCATTTTGCCCACCTCTGCATTAGCCTGTGGTCAACATTTTTCAAAAGCAACCAGTAGTTTGGGGTCAGTTTTTGGGTACCCAACCTAAGATACCTTTTAAATAGCCTGATTTTTCAGAAAGTGCTGAAGAGCCACACTTTGGAGATCAGGCCTTTTTTTAGATGCATCAAGTTTGATAAAATTTTGATCTCCCCCAGTATTACTGGTTGCCATTTTTTTTAAAATCTTGTGCTTGCTTTCTTTTATATGTCAAGTATAGTTCAATGTTCTGAAATTAAAGTAGTGATTTAAGGGCTTGTTGACATGCAGAATTATACTGGTTAAACATAACATGTAATTTTAATTCAATTTATGTAAGAGGTGCAGGAGGCTGTGTGGGTGGATCATACTTGTTTTAAGCCAGGCCTGTTTCAGTTTGGTTGAAGTTAATTAGAAATATGTTTAAGCAACCTAGTTTAATTAAATTTAAAAGCTTATGTGTAGCATGCTTATTTATGTTATGCCATTTGACTGGCAGTATATTGCCAGTTAACTACATCAGTAAAAAAAA